ACCGAGAACCGCAATTTTTGTACTTGCACCAGACCCTTGAGCTGCAGCTGATGGTTCTGCAGTTTGTGCAGTAGATTCGGACTGCATCGTTTGATCTGTACTTAGTGACTTTAGAACATCTCATGCCATGGGTGTTTGCTCTTGATCACATACACTATGTCCGTAATCTACCCATTCATCTACGAGATATGTGTGGCCTTCGAGAAATACATCCAAGAGTTTATAAAGAGTTCATGAAGGGAAAATTCGTTGGACAGAAGACAAGTCGTGCATTTTCTAGCATTGCCTTGGACCAAATTCATGAGCAGCTCATCGATTCTCTGAAGGGTGATGGAGGAATAATTGGACTGACTGGTGATCCTGTAGCCCTTGAAAGATTTATGATTACTGGACCAGAACTTACTCGCATCATTGAGGAATTCGAAAACACAGCTCAAAACAGTCACAGGAAGCACCATGAACAGTATTCTAAATGTCGAGAGATTTTCAGAGAAGATGTAAATGGAGTGCATTCTCTGATGTGGGAAGTCCTTTCCTTGAAGTATCTGGGCAATTGATTTCTCTTGACAGGTCCAGAATCATGACAGGTGATGTTATGAGCTCTGTGAGAAACGTCACAAAAAATTGGAAAAGACAAGTTTGATACATTCTCTTCAGAAAGGGTTTCATCCAGCACATCCCCATGGACCTCCATCTTTCACCTGAATAGATTGCCTCTTTTCGGTGTAAAAGCTCAACAACGTAAAGAAAAATCCGACCTTGCTTCCATGAAGGAAGAACGAACCTAGTTTATTTAAATGATGCTCTCCGGGCACTCAGGAAGGGACATTGGTGAAGAAATGTTTGCACATGAGAACATTACATAACCACCATCTCTCAATTCCCAGGGTCAGATGCACAAAGGAACAAAATCTGAAATTGTCAAGTGCCTCGAAGGTGATATTGAGATTCTACTTCTGATACTTCCCCCAATTCTGATGTTGTTATTCTAGATGGAGCCTTCATCGTGCAATCACTGAGACCTGGTACAGCATCAACATTTCAGGATTATGCAGACCAGGTGTTTCTTCCATATTGTGATGTCATGGCTAAAGGGTCGATGAGAACAAAACAGAACTGTTTTCTCTGTTAGCAGAGAAAATGCAAGAGATGTACACAGAGGGCAAGCAAGTTGTTACAACCTTTGGAGAGAATGTTCTCACTTGACCTGTTCGCTCAAGTACTCGCGCTTTAGCACCTTGTATTCACGAGGAAGCTGATTCAAGGATTTTTTCCATGTTGCAGATGCGACACATGAAGGATTTAAACACATCACCATTCGTGCTAGCGACAATGATGTAGTGATAATAGCTGTGTCCTGTTTCCAAGATCTCCACCTTGATGAGCTCTGGATAGCCTTTGGATCCGGCAAATCATACAGACATATCCCAGTTCACCAGATTGCTATGTAGTTGGGACCATCCAAGTCTCGAGCTCTTCTAGCATTTCATTCTCTGACCGGCTGTGACACCACCTCAGCATTCAAGGAAAAGGCAAGAGAACAGAATGGGCTGTTTGGCAGGAATTCCCAGAGCTCACTGCAGCACTTCGGCGCCTGTCAACATTCCCAAGTAGAATCGATGATGATGTCATGTCCTAAGTAGAGGCATTCATCGTTCGCCTTTACGACAGGTCCTTGGACATCACATCAGTCAATGCAGCACGCATGGAATTGTTTTACTACATAGGCAGGCATTTTGAGAACTTGCCACCTACAAAAGATGCATTGCTACAACTCACATTACACTCAGCATATCAGGCTGGCCACATATATGAATGGGAATGGGTCATGACAAATGACAAGTGGTTACCTCGATGGACAACACTTGCCTTGTGACATGTGAGTGCAAGAAAGTGTGCAAGCCTCCATGCAAATGTTGCAAAGCTGGTGTGAAATGCAGTACTCTCTGTGCATGCAGGGGAGCTTGTTTCAATCAATGAAAATAATGTGTACATATCAGGGAACATAACGCATTGGTTATTGAAAGAATAGGCAAAATATGGGTGAACCTGGCCTGTTAAAGGGATTTTAAATTACAAAAACAAAACCACATGTGTAATCCTAGCATCTTCCCAAAATTATGGTTGTGCGTAATTTTTTTAATTTTTCAAGGCGTCCATTTTTAATGTATGCAAATTAAGAATCAATTTGACCTTTTATGATAATTCTTTGGGTGTCGTTGAGTTTGTCAAGCAGAACTTACTATGAAACAACACATTTATATTTCTATCATTCTTCTGTCAAAAGTTATACATTCGGTTCGTATTTGCATTATACTTCAGTGGCGGCCATTTTTCATTTATGCAGGTTAAGAGTGAATTTGACCTTTTATTATAACTTTGACGGTGTCATTGAGTTTGCCAGCCATATATTTATATGAAACAACACCAAAATTAATGTTCTACCATTTGTCTGTCAAAAGTTATATCCAGTTATCATTTTCATTATATTTCAGTGGCGGCCATTTTTAATTTATGCAAATGAGGGCCTGAATATGCTTGTGGACCTTGTGTCCGTTTCTATTTTCCAATGATATGGTGTAAGGTACTTACATGCAAAGTGGTTCCTTCCTACTAAAATTTGCAGTGGGTAATGGGACTGCTGGCCTAAGTCAGCCCACTACTTGGCCCGGGCAGAAGATCCACGCCACTCTTTCCAGGCTGCTCTCCCTGATCGTAACCTTCCTGTCCGCATACAGCATCCCTTTCTGTACCTTCAGTAGTGTGCTCATAGAGTCAGTAATGGTTACTGCTCGCTGATGGCTTGTGTTTTTGACCTAGTGTAGAGCTTCACTTATGGCTTTTATCTCCATACACATACTTGGTGTTGTCAGTGCAGTTGCTCCACTTTGCTCTTTCACTACTACCCCATCAACTCTGACACTGAAGGCCCAGCCCGATTTGACTCCTCTGTTGATGATCCATCCGTGAAGACCACAGCATATCCATGTTCACTATACTTTTCTATCAGGGTTTCAATTTCAGCGTTTGTAGCTCCAAGTGGCCAGTTGCGACATTCTCTACCCAATGTTGCCTTCACTGTTGTGTACTCCCCGAGCGCATCTTCGACCACGACCCAATCCCTGTCTCTCCTGATGTCTTGTATATGGCAGCACTCGTTGATGGTGTTCGTGGCTTGAGTCATCCATTCTGTGCCCCTCTTTAGCCTTGATGTAATCTACCGTCCCACTTTCTTATGTAGGCCTGCATGCAGAGGGTTCGTCTCGTCTGCGTTGACTCGCAGAAAGGCTTGGACTTGAGCCAGTTTGTGCCTCTCGTCTGCACAAGGGAAGTCTAGGAAGTATCTCATTGCTTCAGCTGAAGTGTCTCGTGTGCACCTCAGGATTGCCCTCATCCCTTCATTTTGTAACACCTCGAGTCGTTGCAGTTAGAATTCTGAATATTGATTGGGTCAAGAGTCCGAGCCCGTACTCTACGTCAGAGAGTACCAGTGTCTGGTAGAAGATAAGGAATTTCTGGCTCATCTTAGCTCTGGCCATCATCTTAAGGGCTGTTAGGCCTTTTCTCGCCCTGGAGATAGTTCTCGTGATGTGATCTTTGCCAGAGAGAGTGCGATCAAACGTGATGCCGAAGTACTTCAGTGTGGGTTCCCTCTTCAGCACTTTGCCTCCAATCGAGATACTTGGCATGTCATCGTGCACTGCATGGTTATTCAGTGTCTACTGGGAATATTTAGGTAAATAAACATCTTCCGTTCAAGTCGAAAACCCCCCCCAAAATCACCCAAACCGTTTTCCCTCTATCACTATTGGATGCCTTTGACTCATGTTTACCATCACCCTCCTAATCTTTGTTCTCCTTTTAATAGGTGATTTTGAGACACCAGTCTCTTTTGTCTTGTCAAACTTTACTCTTGCAATTCTGTTCTGTCTGACATCTCATGTTATTATGAGAGAAAAAGGGAATTGCAAGTAGTCCAAAACAACAGCCCAAGGCTAGTATTGAAGTAAAAGGAGAAAGATCTTGCATCGGAAATGTTAAAAGCTCTACACTGGCTTTCAATTCGAAAAAAAAGAGAACCCAACATGAAGTTTCTCGTTTCTCTGTTATGCCTTAACAACAATGCGCCATATTATTATCTGTCTGGGCTTTTAACACTGTCTGTTCCATCCCGTCAGTTACGGTTATCCACTGCTGACGCAACGAAACTCAGGGCCCCTAGAATGAAATTAAAATGATTTAATTTAGTATGAGTAAGAGGATTTTTTCTTTCATTTTTTAGTCGCTAAAATTTGAAACGCCTTGTTCAGGGATTTCAGAGACACAACAAATCGTATTACTTTTGCGATTGCGACTCAATTGTTTCAGCCTCAGTTGGAGTGTGTTAGCAGGTACGTACCGGGCATGTTTGTCACCACCATCTCCTCATAAAGTCAATATTTTATTTTCTCAAAATTTCTCAAAACGCGACTTTTCTTTGTACTTTTTAAAAATAACTCCACCATTGTTCATCCAATTTAGGAAAATAACAACAGACAAATTTTTAGATCTAATGTTTGTGAACACGCGTGCAAACCCCCCCCCCCCCCCCAAATTTCCATGATCAGCAAGTGCGGTATTCATTACGTAAGACATACATGTATCAACAAAATCCAATATGGCCGCCGTATCCACGGAAACGAAACTTTTTTCTCAGATTTGATTGTGGATTTTAAGACTCCTTATTAGTCTTGTAAAATGTGTGAAATTTGGTAAAATTCGTTCAACTAATAAGCGAGATAGCTTTCAGATGTAGCCCCCCCCCCTTAACTTAAATTCACTCATTCTTTTTTCAACATGGACGAGACAGGTGGGTATTGTCCGCAAGCTGTCCAAAACAACACTGGTGACAACAGGCTAGTTATAATAAGAAGTTAAAAACCAAAGCAGAATATTGAAGTGCTCATGGTGTATAATGGATGTAATAAATTCTCACAATCAACATGTGGGGCTTTTTTTTGGTTTTGTTGTTGATGTTTTTACACCCCCCTCGACACAATTGAGCTCATCTGAGAGGCGCACGTCGACCTTGCCTGTCAGAGTTGACCTTGCCTGTCAGAGTTGACCTTGCCTGTCAGAGTTGACCTTGCCTGTCAGAGTTAACCCGGCCTCAGAGTGATTTTATGTCCCACCAGAGAGATCGAATACTCGATGGAGATTCTCCCCAAACAGGAATTAAACTCGAATCTTCTTAGGGCAGCAGCAAAGCATTTAAACGCAATACCACAGATTTTGGTATACACATGTTCAAACATGCTTATTTTATTAACTGGTTGGGATTGCAGTTTGAAAGTTCTGATGGCCGAGCGAACAGCGTGTCTGCGTTTGGAGGCAAATATTATTTTCGATCGCTCACATGGATTTTCTGCCCTGGCCATGCAGGTGTTAGGGGAAATGAAAAAGCCGACAGATTGGCAGGTGAGGCCACCTTAGTTGACAATACGGTTCAACCAGATAGGGTCGAGATCCTGAAATGTCTTTCTCGCCAACTGATTGAGGAGGAAGATAGGGAGGCAGAGGCCAGTACTGCCGTGGAGAGGATGATGCTTTTGGGAATAAAAAAAGGAAGCGGAAAATCTGGCATCCTTGCAGGAAAGAACAGAAGAACGTTCAATCAGATGTGCACTGGCACGATCAGTAGAGGGACCCTCGCAACATTTTGGAGAGAGCAACGGAGCATCAATGGACATGTCCGGAGTGCAGGGATGTTGCTTCCTGAAACAAGAACAAAAACAAGAACAAGATTGCAGTTCTCCTTTGGTTCAGTTCATACCATGTTGGACTACGAAGTGGAAGATCCTGGTTTATAATTTTCAGTCTTTGTCAGTTTTATGGCACTTGCAACACAAACAAGAGGACATCATACGTGTGCCGAAGATTAAAGGTGCTACTGGAGAGTAACATAATATAAAGAAAAGAAAACGGAAACAAGGAAGAAAAGGGGGGGGGGGTAGTGGTAATGACGATAGATGCTTGATAAAAAAGCAGCAAACCATACCAAAGCACCTGCCGACCACCCACATGATCACATGTACACCACAACTCTCTGCTACCAGTGTCAAACCTGGACTCTCAACAAGGCGCAGCAAAATAGAAAAACTGCATGCGAAATTAAATGTCTTAGGAAAACATTAAACATTACAAGAAGAGACAGACAATTACAAGAAGAGACAGACAAAGCCAAACATCAAGCAGGCGTCGAATGAGCATGAAATGAGAGACAATAAATAAGGTGGTTTGGACATGTAATGAGAATGTGGTCACAACAGCCAGCCTCTAAAAAGCCTAAAAACGCTATTGGATGGTCTCAAAGCAGAAGGAAGGCCAAGAAAGAGATGGATCAACGCGTTAAAGAGTCCCTCCAAAGGAACAACATAAGGACCCAAACAGCAACACACCTGGCCCACGTCCGAAAATTGCATTTTCCCCTCGACCCTCATGGTATTTATAAGAGTATTAATTAAGAGGACGGAAAAAGTGAAAATAAAGTAACACTACAGTACACATAGAATCTGGTTCTCCCCTCGTTCACACAACACTATTTAGAATCTTTCGGGTGCTCAGTCACCCCTGTGAACTTATTCTGGCCTGTGAGTGCACCCGATCCTGGGTCGAATCTTCAACATAACAAGTTTGAACTTGAGTTCTTCATATGCATGTATACTGTATACGTGTAAAAGACACACAACTTTATAATAAGAGTGCATGTTTGTTGAAAAATTTATTTCATGTTTTATTTACCCATTCCCCCTCCACACGAACCTCTCTCACTCTCTCCCCCTCTCTCTCTCCCTCTCTCTCTCACACACACACACACGCACACACACATGTACACACATACTCTATCTCTTTCTCTCTGTATATCTGTCTGTCTGTCTCTCTCCCTCTCCCCCCCCCTCTCTCTCT